GTGGGAAGGTCACTGTAGATAATGGAAGCACTGTACAATCATAGAATTTAGCAACTATAAGCCAAGACATGTACTGTTCAATCAAAGACTATAGATGGATATTCTCAATCCAATCAGCCCTGCAAAGTGACAAACATCCCTTTCACTGTTTGTCTCGTGATGGACGAACGGCGGGGTGGTCCCTCGATCTTTGACGTGGTTCACCATGCCTGAGATACTGGACCAATGTTTGTCAAGTAAGATGATATGACCGGTCACCTTTTCCTCAAAGGTTGACCGGTCATTTCTTGAGCTCAACCCGTCTCTTTGGTCTTCTTGAATTCTTCACAACATTAGGTGATATTTTGGCTATCGCCCAAAATGTGACCGGTCACTTTTTTAGTGGAAGTGACCGGTCAACTTTTGACCCGTCCCAAACGAAGAGTTAACCTCATTTGGTGATTGATAAAAATGACCGGTCATATTTTGACCTGTCCCTTTCGGTTGTCCAGGTCGGGTATAGGGATATACCCATCATAAACCAACACACTAGTACAAAATGTCGGTGTACAAATTTTAGTGTACAAATAGCTTAATCCATTTCAATTTTCAACCCTCTTAAAATTATCCTATCTTTCAAACAACCAACTCAACTAAAATTTCAAGCTTTTGGTCGTAGCCCCAGAAATGTTTCTTATATTTTAACATGTCTCTCACGTGCAAACATAGTCTTTTTTTAGAACATTGCACGTGGAACCTAAATTTTTTTAAAATTTAGCGGTGGAACCTAAACATGCGATCTCTTTGTCAACAAGACTCTGATACCATGTCAAAGAACCAGCTCAACCAAAAGCTCAAGCTTTAAGCTCAAGCTCGAGAAATATTTTTTATATTATACTTTAGCTATAAATTACAAAAAAGATGATTAGTTATAACATAAATTTAGTATGATTGAATTCATTTAATTCCCAATGCTTAGCTTGATGTTTATTAGCAAAAATGGCCAGTCATACATATTGACCGACCACGTGCATTTTTGTACCATAAAATGTTCATCCGAAAATTAATTTTCTTCACGATTTTATGAATTTGTCTTTGATTTTCTTATTTTAAATAGGAATGAACATGCATGATGAATAGTAACACAAGTTAGCATGTTTAATAAGTTGAGTTTCATTAAAAACCATACTTTTGTGTATCTTTCAACTCTCTCTCTTCTACATACGTAAAAATCAAATCAGATGGTTTTGTTTATGAATTGCTTACACAGAATCAAACAAAATTGAGAAAAATCATTCACAAGTCACAACAGTATTACTCACAAAACATCAATTTTAAAAGAGGGATTCATTTGCAAACTTTTCTTTAATTTTCAATAAATTCAAAAAAAAACATTTTTAAAGGAATTAGTTACAAATGTTATTGATCAATAAAATAGATTTCACACTTTTTTTGAAGCTTATAAAGTTCCAAACGAGCACAAGTGGAATACCTAAAATCGCATAAAAACAAGACTATTTCAGTACAAGAAAAAAGTTTCAAACACTACTTCAAAAATTTTCATTCATTATCCAAAATTTACAAAAACAAAATGACTAACAAAAAGAAATCATCCTAAATAGGAATAAGACATTAAGAAAATACCAAAATAAGAACTCCATATCTTTATATCTAAAATAAAAGTTTACATTCTAATAATGTCACACCATATGTGGACATTTCAGAATACTTTTTAGTAATATACGGAATATATGGTCATGATTATCACTGTATATACATTTTAACTCTTATTTTGAAAATAAAAACGTGGAGTTCTTATTTTGGCATATTTTCAATGTTTTACTCTTATTTTAGCCTTTTTTTCCCAACGATACACTAAAAATTTTACAAATGCTGGTTCGAAATATACCTTCCCATTTGAAATCTCCATGAAAAGTTCCAATCTTTGGATTAATATTACACTGGATCAGTCATCTGAACTATAATCACTAGAATCTTGCAGTACCGGTAGAGCAGCACAGCAAAACTGCTCCTTGTCTCTCAGAAGAAGGCAACTCCCATCCGAATTCCATCGCAGGTCCATCACCGAGAATTGAGGCAAAGGGACATTTATGCAATAAGCACCCGAGGGTGTCCACATGTACAAATGTGGGCTCCCCGTGCATAGGACGAGGCGCGTGGAGGACGGGTCCCACGCCACTGCCCTAATAGGGTCTTTTTGTATCAAGATGGAGGCCAGCTCGAGACGCTGTGTGTCCCATATCCAGAGGACAGTTGGCATGCTGTCGTTGCGAGTGCATATGTATTGGCTGTCATTGCTCCATGACATTAGACCTGTTGAAATGAAGAGAAGGACCATAGTTCCTGCTTAATATATGCCTTGAGAGTGGAATTGGCCTAAAATTAATGGGTGCTGTAAGTACAAGGGCTAAATGGGCCAAAACTGCATGGTCTAGTTCTTACACAACTGCATGTTTCAAAATTCCTTTTTGTCCCAAAATAGTGTCCTATTTCAACAACAAACTCAATAAAATCCCAAAAAGCAGAGTGGGGGAGGGTGTGTCTTACCCCTACTAGAAAAGAGAGAGGTTTCAAGAGACCCCGGCTCAAATACCAACATACAAAGTAAATAGAGTAAACAAAATAAACACAGTAGCACGAATATAGTACATTTCAAAAGATGAAGTGTTTCAAACAAGTAAATATGTTAAAGTTGGTTTAAAAACAAGTATAACAACAACAAACCCATTTAAATCCCACAAGAGTGTTTTTTTAAAAGCCACAAGAGTGGTTGGTTTAAAAACATGTAAATGAAAAAAAAAATCTATAAATGATTTTGGTCATTTGCAAGAGTTCCGCCTAACAAATATAAAGCAGCATAGTTAAATAAATGAACTCTAGATCTTAAAAAGAAAATATGAATCAGAATCTTCCTCACCGATTCCCTGCTTGGGGTTTGGTTTATCTACAGCTGGTTTCTGATAAGGCAGAGTAATGGGTACTTCCATAACATCATATCTGACCTGAATTTGCCTTTCAGGAGCTTCGTCTGGAAAACAATAAATCAAGCAAAAATCCTTAGAAAAATAGTTTTTGGATTTTAGATTAAACATAATGACCGACGTAGCAATTTTTTTTCCTTCAAAGGACACAAAGGAAGTTGAGTGTTTACTGTTGTTTTGATTGACAAAATCATCACTCAATGATAATTCTGCCAGATCAAGTTGAAATGGCTCATCTACTTCCTGAAAAGTGAAAAATAGAGGAGTTATGAAATGTTTTGCAACAAGAATGACGGTGTCCCTTATCTGCAAAATTAATGATCTGATTGAAATCCGGAGAATGATAGAGATAAATTATAGGATGAAAAATCGAGAGGAAATTTCAAAGGAAAGAAAATGAGATGGGATAATAAAAGATTGCAGCGGATAAACACTTCAGATATCAGGCCTAGATAATTGTTCAAATTCATTTATTTAAGTCACTGGGGTTCTTTTGACATCCAAAAGAGGTCAAACAGAGCACCCTAGGGCCCTCAAATCATCTGGTTTCATTATATGACACCGGGTAATGTAGTCAAAAGATCCTCTATTTAAACATTTACTCTAAAATTTGATTTTCCTTCATATCTATCAAGGTAACATCAAATATAAAAAAAGAAATTATCTTATTTTTATTATTTGACTTCCTTTCCCTTTTCTGCGTTCCAAACAGGCAAACATAGCCTAAGCAAGAAGGCATTTACCTTAAAAACAGCAGCAGAGCAAGGACCTCGAACTACTGTCAAGTGCACGAATTCTGCAAATACTTTCCATGTTAAGTGATTCAGAATTCGTAGCATTTGGTCATAACTACCAACTGCTAAATATTGGCTGCAAGGTGACCATGAAACACTTTTCACACCCAGGCCACACTCATATGCTTGATACTTAGCCAGGCACCGCCCATCAGCCGAATATATTAAAACCTAAAGAAAAACACAATTAATATAATTGTGAAACATATATGCTGATTGTACAGTGAAAATAATATAAAAAAAGAAATGCTTTTATCCATTATGAGTTGTTGAAAATTGGACATGTGGTTTCCAAGCTCATTATTACTACCCATGTTCCCAAAAAAATTCTTGCTAGACCAATGCACAAGTTATTTTCAGTAAGATAAATTGTGATAAATTATGAATCGTACTTGTATTTTTTTACTTCGGGTTTTTTATTGGTTCAAATAAATCGACCATATCTTGTGATTTTTTGGCATATTACATAAAAATATAGATGATTTTTATCAATGTAAGTTCTTTTTATGGGACAAAAGAAGAGGTTGGAACAAGACTTTTTTACACAGATGAGTAATAGAAGTTAGAATAATAAAACGCTGCCTTTACATTGGTAATTAGCACTACAGTCCTGCTTTTATGAAATGCGAGCAAAATGTTCACAATAATGCATTTTCCAAATCAATGAAGTACTGAAAATAACAGATCTTGACAGAAGCAGGGAACATTATTATGAAAGGAGCACCTTATATTCAAGAATTGAATCCCAAATCACGATGGCACTATCATCTGGTGACCACTGTATATCAACCAAATCAAGAGTGTCCACAGCAAAAACGCCCATTATCTCCCATGTCTGGCAAGATAGCAGATTGACATAGTCTTTACAATCACGTCTTGTGCAAATCGCAGCAAACTTCCCATCCTTGGTGAAAGAGACCCCCTTAGATCCGTGCTTTGGCCATTGAATGTGTATGCATGCAGTGTTGAGTAGTGACCATACAGTTAACCGCAGCTGGAATTCAGATGTTGTCAATATGTGTCGACTGTCCGGGCTCCACCTAGCATAAGAAATGCCCGCAATTCCTTCATCTATTTTACATGTCCATTCCGGGTGTGTGAGTGACCATGCCTGGATCATTGGTTTCTTGTTAAGGCCACAAAGGATGTATTGTGAATCAGGAGCCCATTCGATGTACGTGATCTTATGCAAGCATGAAAATAGTTGCACCACCTATATTATGCAAGTTGAGATCACAAACAGATTTTCAGTTCCAAACCACAAGCCAGCTGAGAATAGATTCCTGAATATAGATACTGAGATGCCCTTTAACTCCCAAAAGCCACTCCAAAACCATATCATTACTGATTGGACCTCTGCTATGTTTTATCATTCACATTTGGTTTACAATCGATACATGCTCATCATTTCGTGTATGACCCCTTTTATGGAGGGTGTAAAAATACCAACTAAATTGTTTACTTGTGGGTCTATGTTTAAGCCGGGGTCTGCTAGACAGCAACCTCTACACATCCGAGTAGGGGTAAGGTCGGCCGGTCGTACACACCCCTCCATAGACCCTACTTTTGAGGGATTTTAATGGGTTTGTTGTTGTTGTGGTTTACATCATTAAATTTTAAAAAATAAAACAAAACACAATTTCAAAGTTTATGGATCCATATAACCTACTTCGGTGGGGTTCTAGTGACACCGGAGTACGGTGACACTCCGGTGCCACTGTCATTTTGGAGCACTTCCGGTGCTCCGTTCGTAAAATTAACGGTTCCTACCCCCAACCCACCCCTAAACCCCACCCTACCCCCGCCCCTACATCCTCACCCTAACCCCGTCGTAAGCCCCCACAAAATGTGTGGCTATTATGCACTGCGTAGTGGGGTGCCGGGACGGGGGTAGGGGTGGGGGGTTTAGGATGGGTTAGGGGTTAGAAACCGTCAATTTTAGGAATGAGGCATCGGAAGTGCCCAAAATCTCAGTGGCACAGCTAGTGTCACCAAAAGTGGGTGTCACCGAACCTACTTACATCATGATGTATTATAATAAAAGAAGTCATTTGATCGGCATTCAGTCATTAGCCGACTGAGCTTACACCCAAAAGTTCAAGCGAAAATTGAATCGTTCTGCTCTAAAATCTAATGCAAGCCAGGAAAAGAAGAAACTGAATCTAATAGATTAGCATTTCGACCTTGTTCATAGAAAGATCGTAGCTCGTACCTTGAGGGAGAGCACATCCCGAATCACGAGGCGGTAGTCGACCGCCACGGCGAGAAATCGAGCATTTGGAGAGAAAGCGCAAGGCCCGGACTGTTTATATGCTTCTGTAAACTCCATTGAAGCTCGAAAACAGCAAGATTTACTTCAGATGCCTTGGAATCTCACATTTCTGATATCCTCTTTCTTCCTTTCTAAGGGTTCCATTCCATACTTCTGAGCCGGTTCAGTGGATCTGAAGGAGGGTAGGATTCAAGTCATCTCTGAAGAACAGAATTTTACTAGAATAGCAGATTATTAAAAAGCACGGGTAAACTGTGCATTCGAATTTTCAATTGCGATGAACTAATCGGGTCGATCCATCCCGGAGCGTGGATCCTATTCCGTCCAAATTTTGTTTGGGTTTACTCTTCTTCTTCTTTTTGTCTCAAATCCGTCCCAAATCAATATAAAATGAAAAAGAATGGGGAGATGAAATTTGTAATTTTTTTAATTACATTTTTATTTAATGGTTTATTAAAGATGTTTATATTAAGCATTCAAACTATTTTTTAGAGTACAAATTTTTCGCTTTGACTTTACACGCAAATTAGAAAAAGTAAAAAATATTTTGACTTTCCATATTTGTCCTTGAGTCATTGCAAAAAGTGAAATAAAGTGTGATTATGGATAATAATTAATGAGTAAAGGTGAGGGTAGTGATGTAATTTAAAGAAAAAATATTTACCAAAATAGGAAACGAAAAGATAATTTATGGACAGACAAATAAAATACTTTAAAGATAAATTATGGACAGATGGAGTATAAAAAATCTAAATATGGACACCTTGAACTGTGTTCTAAATTATCCCAATACTAGAACAAATGAGACAAAGTAGTAGTATGTTTTATAATAATGAAAATATGATTATTAGGCACTTAATTTTGTCATTTGAAAAGATTATTTTCAGATTGAGGGAGTAATTTTTTGATCCATTACTTGATAGGGGGTACTTAGTTTATGGTGAGCTCATTATACATTTTAGAATTACATCACGAATTTGTTTTTTTTGTAAGAATTAAATCACGATTTACCAGTACTACTCTATTAAAGGCAAAATCATACAAAAATCAATTCGGATGGTGTATTGACTAAATGTTCGTGGTTGTTTTCTTCAAACAAGGGCAACGACAAAAACAAGAAAACAACGTTTAGATTAATTTTAGTGGTATGGACTAATTATAAAGACGCAAACACTAACAATTATAGGGATATACTCCCTCCGTCCTATAATGATCTTCCCAGAGCGCTATTCCAACTTCACGGGAATTTATATTTATTTGTGTTTTTCATGCCTTATATGATAAAATAAAATATTCTTGTCACCACTTGTTTTGTTGAACTTTTGGTGTAGTTTTTAAATATGTATGTTTTATTTTTTATTTCTATACCAATATTTAAATAAAATAGATTGAAAAAACTTGGGATTTTTCTTCGTTTTGCGAACCGGGAAGATCATTATAGGGCGGAGGGAGTAACATTTACAAAATGTTGAACATTAATGCTAAAATTAAAGTCAAAACTGATTCATTCGGACCTATTTTAGGTGGAAAATTTGATATTGTGGAAGTATAAAAAGTGCCAAAACCAAAGCTCTTTGAAGTTAGTAAACTCATAACTAATAAACTAATATGGTGTACGTAGTAAAACTACTCTGTACGTCAAAAATTAGAAGACATTAATAGATACATTTGACCAAAAGATATCAGGTTCAAGTAAAAGTGTATCAGAGCCTAAGATCATAGCTCCGACCTCATTGTGGAAGTGGTCAGCCTAGGCCTAGTGATTGACCTGGGCCAGAGCCTAAGGTCGGCTAAGCCAGACACATTGGCAAACTGACGTAATGTGAGGCACATGGTTGGCCTCTACACGTCCAAATGGTCAGCCATATGCGCTCTGTACAAGGGAGAATCTATGGTAAGTAGGTAGAGACGGACAGGCTTGGCCGTTCGATATACTTCGTATTTGCTTATTGAGATTTGACACCGGGTGCCGCTAAATGCACCCCCCCATTATGACTACACCCACTCCATTTAGACATTTATGTCCTTAAACGCATAGAAGCAATATTAGTTGTTAGCCTACTTTTAAGGGCAAGTTTGTCCATTTAACATAAATGAAGTGGATTTAGCCATAATGAGAGTGGATATAGTGACACCCTTTGACACCTGCACACATCTTTCTTTCTCTTCAAATAACCCTCTCAGGTATGTGGGGAGGGGATAAACAATTGGGCATTCATCGATCACTCTCACAATCACAATAAACAATAAACCCAGTAAAATCTCACAAAAATAAGGTATGAGGAGGGTTTATGTACACAACAAACCTTACTCCTATTCAAAAAGAGAAACTATTTCATAAAACTGATCACTCTCGACCTGGGTTCCTAGAATCCATGATAAAAATAGTTTTTTCCCAGAAAAAAACGAGGTAAACCATGGAAATATAAGCCAACATTCACTTGCCAAACACCTAGCCGAATTCTAAAAGTCGGTCAAATTCAAAAATATGATGGATTAGTTTATATACTCGGTATTTTTTACCAAACAAAGCTCATTTTGCTATGTAATATTGTGATCTGAAAACAACAAAAATGGGAATTGAGAAGAAAGCCTACTCACCAACATTAGACTTACTTGACAAGTTGTTGCACATCATATGTGAGCTTGAGGAAGACCACACTTGGCAAAAAACATGACATGGTTAAGAGAGTGAGAAGGTGTAGCAAGTGTCGACTCACTTCTCCGCCTGCCCAAAGTATCTACCGGATATTGTTGCCAAAATGTTCAGCATGATGACATCTTCGTCCACCATTGTTTTTTCAGCTCTCAAGGACGCACATTTCCGGAGCAAAGATCTGAGGGCAGCCGAGGTTTCAGCATGAAGTGGAGTGTCAACGGCTGCACACAACCCAAATAGCCACAGGCAATCGTCCCTTGAGACTGTGGTTGCACTTTCAAAGGCTGTTATCTTCTTCCTGAGAACTGAAACTCGAGTCACCGGTTCCATCCCAGAAATAACTGAAAGTGTTGGCCATGAATTTTTCAGGACATTATCCTCGCCTACATCGCTTTGCCCTCCTTGATCATCCCCAGATGTTATGCTATCAAAATATTCAATGATGTCTTCAGTTACTTGATCATGATGAGTGGAAACTATGGGTAGGGAACTGGGAATGTTAACACCAGAACCTTCTAACTTTGATAAAGCCTGAAAAGATGGATTCAAATGTAATTTCCTTCTTAGTCATCCTTCTCCATGTTCGGGAAATATGTAAATGGATCAGAAATAGTAAATACAGAACCTAATCAAGAAATGATGGAAAAAGTTTATGCATTATATCATTAAAATACTACCCCGTTCGTCCCAAAAAAGAGTATTGTTTGGTCAATGTATCTTTTAAATTTTATCAAGTTACAAGTCTTAAAAGTCATGGAGTCCTAGCTAGTCCACACATAGTTTCAAAAACTTTTTGTTGTCTTTACGAAGATTGTCATATTCAAATAGTTTCTACCTCTTTTTTCTTTGAAAATTACATGGATTATTAGTTCCGTTTGATCACATCTGACTTTTTTTTGTGCAAATCATATAAGCAGTGAGTTTTGTTTGATTAGATAAGATTAAATATGGGACTTCTTTAAAAAAATAAGCAGACTTGTATTAAAACCAATTTTAACCCAACCAATCTTATGTTATTCATCTAGTCTTGCAACACTATGAGATGAAGAGGCTTACTTGATGTTATTCTAATTTCTAAACATAGTTTTTACTCTACCAGTTCACATTCTTACAAGCAAAGTAAACTTCCTACAGAAATGCTTGCAGAAACATAAGAAGATGAAGTCACTCATTTGTCTTTTTTTTGTAATTAAATTAATTACTGACCAAGGGGTAATGTAGCAATAGGTGTGGTAAAATCCACCTCCAATTTTAACTTGTAGTTACATATAGCAAGCAATTAAGTGCCCCCACATATGGAATGAGGCCCGGCACCCCCACCCTCAAAAAGAAGAAATTAAGTGCCACCACATATGGAACTACATGAAGGAAATATTTCAAATGAGTGAAAAAAAAAGTAAGAAATAATTACCAGTCTCAACTGTGAGAAATCAGCAAGGAACTCATCCTCCCACTCCTTAAGGGGTAGTAAGTGCTCTGGGCAACTTGCAATATCAGGAATATTTGGCATATAAACACTCTGTTCTTTGTTTAGCTTGCTTCTTTCAAACTTTGAAACTTTCACTTTTGGCATATGTTCTGCTTCCCACCTTTGATCACAAGGCCATAAATGACATATATGTGAAGTACAATAAACTTTATGCATACCACAGTTAGATAGATGTATCAAATATACTTCTCTTTGAGATGATGTGTATTCCCATTACATTATTTAGTTAATGCATGCCAGGCTCTTATTCTCTACTAACACTACTTTGACATCCATAATAAAACACTAATGAACTGACCATGTTATTATCAAACCCCTGCCCTGGCAACTCCATTCTCATGAAAGAACAAATCTCTTGATGGTACTTGGAAGTGAGACAACAGAATGAATTGCAATTTGAAAAAAAATATAATAAAAGTAAAGCAATATATCCACATGACTAGCCAATAAAAAAGCTTAATTGAAAGTTCCATAGAGAGGATACCACATTCTAAGTGTCCAAACTCCAAATACATAATAAAACATTTGGAGTAATAAGCTGCATTCAAGGGTGTAAAAGTCAGCATCAATAGCCTTCTTATGTTGTTTCTGTATTCAAATGATAATATTGTACTTCCTAAAAACAATCTAAGTCACCATTCACTAGCATGGCAGCACAAAATAAACTAAAATGGTATTCAAAACAAAACATGTATTTTACAGTGACATATAGTTTTTGAGGCACTGTTACAGGAAGCATGTGCACATTAGAGGGTAGAAAATTAGAATGCATGAAACTAATACTATTATGTAGTAAATGAAGCAGCAATGGCTAAATCCTAAATCCAGCAACTTGGCAGCACAAGATAGTTAGCTTTCATCTTCAACGGCTTAAAAATCATGTCAGAAGCATTAAGTACCTTTATCTGATAAGCTCTGGCAATTTGGTGGATAAAGCAAGAAAAATATATTCGTATATAGAGAGACTTCTCAGTTTGCAATATTCAGATTAGTGCAAACCTAATGGGTATGAATTAACAGATATGTGAATACTGAATAACTAAACCCTTGCATGCTTATCATGCTGGAACGTTTGCATATAATATGGGGAGGATATTTACCTTACTCGCCTGATGTATTCAAACCCATCTTCAGGAGGACCAGAATCAAAATCCGGCTCTCCAGCAACAAAAAATGCAGGCCTTTGGATGCTACTGTAATCATCATCACTGTCATCGTAGTCATTGTCTTCTCCCTCTACAAATGAGTCCTCGTTTTCATTTCCTATGGGACACCCCGTTACGGG